GGAGGGGGAGGAGGTGCAGGATGAGGAGGAGCAGGAGGAGCAGGAGGAGCAGGAGGAGCAGGAGGAGCAGGAGGAGCAGGAGGAGGAGGAGGAGCAGGACGTGCAGGCGGCAGCGGCTGCAAACAAGCAAATGGAAAATGTCGCACGCGCGTCATAAGAAAGTCTGATTTCAGCTCCTCACCGGATTCGTGGATCCCTCAAAATGTGCACGGCGAACAACCATACAAATAGAGGCCACCTCCCGGGTGCTACACTGCGGTGCGATGGCCAAGCGCAGCGTCATGGATTAAATAGAACAGCACGACCGATTGTCGTGAACGAGCAGCCGGAGAACAAAGAAGAGCCCACTGCAGAACAAAGGAGAGCCTGCAAAATAAAGAAGAACCCTACGAGGAGCATCTGCGAGGGCCCGAAATTGGACCTGAAATCCGACGCTGCGAACAAAAAAAAAATCGAAACACCAGGACCGGAACCTTGAACCAAACCCTTCAGCGGCATTCTCGAGCCGGATCAATGTGTGATGATCCTGGGGCCCGAAACCGAAGACGATGCGATGAATAGAATAGTGTTCCAACATCGCAATACATTGGCCCTGCAGGACTTGGCGAAACCTGCAAGTGGCTTCGCTCGCTGAATGCTCTGGGCCCAAACGAGGCCTGAAACGCCTGGTGTCAACAAAAAAGTGCAACGCCCAGTTCTCGGAGGAGGCCTCGATCCTCGATCTTCCTGTGGGGAGAAGGAGGAGGAGGAGGAGGAGGAACTCTGATCGGACCCTGCGGTCAAGGCCTGGTCGCATGAACGACGGCACCCAGAGGGTGGTCCGCGGAGGCCTCTGAAGGCCTCCAAGAGGCCCAGGAAGAAGCATAAAGCATCCAATAACCTCGATTCGTTGAAGGCGTAACGAATTCTGCTGTCCCTCGACTCGCGCTGGAGCTTCCCCGATTTCTCCAGACTTGTCTTGATATTCCTGGGCGAACCTCGATATGTCTGGATGTGCATCGATGTACGTAGATGTACATCGATGCCCATGGCTTGATCCCCGCAAGTCGATTGGAAAAAAGTTGTCAAGCCCTTAGGGATCGATCCTCGATCCTCGATCCTCCTGCGGAGAGGAGGAGAAGGAGGAGGAGGAGGAGGAGGAGGAGAAGGAAGAGGAAGGGGAGGAGGAGAAGCACAAAACGCCGCACGGACGCGGACGGCGGGAAACGAAAAGACAGGAGGGGCCCCCCCCCTCCTCCCTCCTCCCTCCTCCTCCTCCTCCTCCTCCTCCTCCTCCTCCTCGTCCTCCTCCTCCTCTCCTCCTCCTCCTCCTCCTCCTCCTCCTCTTCCTCCTCCTCCTCCTCCTCCTACTACTACTACTACTACTACTACTACTACTACTCCTTCTCCTCCTCCTCCTCCTCATCCTCCTCTTTCTCCTCCTCAGCCTCCCCCAATCGTCATCCTCACCATGGTCCTCCTCATCCGACTCCTCCTTGGTCTGCACTGCGTCTTCAGCGTAGTGCACACCCCCGGCAACGATGCCCTCTGGTATCTGTCCGCGGACCTCCGAGTTCCGAGTTCCGAGTTCCGCCTCCTCCTCGCCCTTCGCCTCCTCCATTCCTTTTCCTTACAAGTAACTCCTCCCTGTCGCACCCCGAGGCCAGTCGAAAGGGCGGGCCAGGCATTTCACCTGAGGCTTCCTTACCATTTACGAGCCTCAAGCTTAAAAACTGGCAATCGCTTCATAGATTGAAGGCAGGTCGCTTCCAAATGTGACTCTCGCCTTGGGGCCGCTCACATTGGCTTGTAAAATTTTACAAGCGCTTCACGGATTGAGGGCGGGACGTTTTCAAGATGTGACTCTCGCCTTAGCGACGCGCACTTTCGATCTAATTCGCAAGAATTTCACGAATGAGGGTGGGTCGCTTCCAGCATGTGGCTCTCGCCTTGGCGCCGCGCACTTTCGTTTAAAATATTGCCAGAGTTGCACGAATTCTCATTGCCAACGTGCCAGAAATTGCAAATTGGAAGGACTCAAGACTGTGAGGGGGCAACAATTACGCTGACTCGCTGTATTGAAGTCCCAAGAACGGTGCCCTGGCACGACTCTGGATCGTCAAGACGTAACAGTCGTGTCGATTCGGGGCTTTGGAGTCCCGAGAACGGTGTTTTGACACGCGTCAGGGTCTCCAAACGGTTGTCTCCCAACGAGGCAGTTCCCTCAGTGGAAATGAACCCTTGCAGGGGCCTATGAAGAGGGAGCTCGGAGGGAGGGTGGATTAGAACGTCGTTGATGAGTCGTGCGTTTACACTCGTCTTCCTCTTCCTCCTCATCCTCCTACTCGTCGTCCTCATCCGTTCCTCCCAAAATTCCTCCGTCTCCTCCACATCCCCCTCAACCTACTCCGTCACATCCTTCTTCTCACGTATGACATCATATTCCTTCTCCTTCTCCTCCTGCCGCTTCTCCTCCTCCCCACCACCACCACCATCATCATCGGCATCATCGTCATCATCATCAGCACCAACGTCATCATCATCACCACCACAACCACCACCACCATCCTCGTCATGCGCATCACCACCACCACCACCACCACAACCGTCATCAGCATCATCATCCGCATCGGCATGAGCATCAGCATCAGCATCAGCATCTGCATCAGCATCAACATCGCAATCGTCAACATCATACTCAGCCCCATCAGCATCATCATCATCATCATCAGCAGCAGCAGCAGTAGCATCAGCATCATCAGCATCAGCATCATCATCATCATCATCATCAGCATCGCCATCCGACCATCATCGTCATCGTCCGCATTACCATCACCACCATCATCATCATCAGCAGCATCATCATCATCGTCTCGTGATCATCGGCGTCGTCGTCATCGTCACCAGCAGCATCATCATCAGCATCAGCAGCATCATCATCAGCATCATCAGCATCATCAGCAGCATCCTCATAATGATGATCACGATCATCAGCATCATCATCAGCAGCATCATCAACATCATCATCATCGTCGTCATCAGCATCACCAGCGTCGTCGTCGTGACGCCGCTTCGTACTGTTGCTGCGTCCCTTAGCATCGGTTCTCGTCCACCTCATGTGCACCGTCACCGCACCCAACACCGCCACCACCACCACCACCACCGTCATCACCACCATCATCATCATCGTCATCATCATCATCAGCATCAGCATCATCAGTATCATCAGCATCAGCAGCATCATCGTCATCATCATCATCGTATTCAGCATCCTCAGCATCATCAGCATCAGTACCATCATCAGCAGTATCAGCATCATCGTTGTCATCATCATCATCATCATCATCATCATCATCAGCAGCAGCAGCAGCATCATCATCAACATCATCAGCAGCATTAGCGTCATCGTCATCATATGCAACAGCAGCACCATCGTCACAGCATCATCAGCATCATCAGCATCAACATCATCATCATCAGCATCATCATCATCATCATCATCAGCAGCAGCGTCATCAGCAGTATCAGCATCATCGTTGTCATCATCATCATCATTAGCAGCAGCAGCATCATCATCAACATCATCAGCAGCATTAGCGTCATCGTCATCATATGCAACAGCAGCACCATCGTCACATCATCATCATCAGCATCATCAGCATCAACATCATCATCATCAGCAGCAGCATCGTCATTATTCGCATCATCATCATCAGCATCATCATCATCAGCAACATCGTCATCACCATCAGCATCATAATCAGTATCGTCGTCAGCATCATCAGCATCGTCGTCATCGTCATCGACATCGTCATCGTCATCGTCATCGTCGTCACCATCAGCATCATCATGGTCATAATCATGACCGCAAGAAACACCATCATCGTCGACCTTCTGGTCATCATCACCATCATCAGATTCACTGTCGTCATCCGTCCATTATTCCTCCTCCCCCATGTGTCTTAATTGCCCTGCTTCACCTCCTCGTGCTACTGCTGTTGCTGTTTCTCCTCCTCGTCATCATCCTGATCATCCTGATCATCCTGATCATCAGCATCATCGGCAGCAGCAGCATCTGCCTCATCATTATTATCGGCATCATCATCATCATCATCATCATCAGCATCATCCGCATCATCATCATCACCGTCATCAGCATCAGCATCATCAGCATCAGCAACATCATCATTATCATCATCAGCAGCATCATCATCAGCATCAGCATCACCATCATCATGGACAGCATCAGCAGCAGCAGCAGAAGCATCATCAACATCCTGATCAGCCTCATCATCATCAGCATCATCGTCATCATCAGCATCATCAGCATCAGCACACCACTACCATCAGCATTATCAGTAGCAGCATCATCGTCATCAGCAGCATCATCGTCATTGTTATCAGCAGCATCATCATCGTCATCATCATCGTCATCGCAGTCGTCGTGTTCGTCATCACCATCATTCCAAGCATTACCATCATCATCAACATGCTGATCATCATCGCCATCCTCGTGTGAATCGTCATCATCCGTGCCTTCCTCCCCCACCTATGTTTCCAACGTTGGCCTGCTCCACCTCCTCCTCTCCCTGCTGCTGCTGCTGCTGCTGCTGCGGCTGCTGGTCCTCCCCTTCCTCGTCACCGCACCCATCACCACCACCACCACCATCACCGTCATCACCATCGTCATCGTCATCATTAGCAGCAGCAGCATCATCAACATCATCATACCCTCCCCTCCCCACTTCTCCTCCCCCATCCCGCCATCCCTCGGTTCGTGTATGGTTCCGCGTATCACATAAGGCTGTCATCATGCACGCCACCTTGCAGAACTGACTCCAAAGAAACAAAACAACAACAAAAAACGCGACCTCTGCGCACGACTGACGACTTCGAATGCCGAGCCAGGCGAGAGGCATCTCAGAGCCGTGCAGACATACAGAGCACCAACACAAAGGCGAGAAGCGAAGGTGCACGGAAAAGCAGGCGAGAGGCTCGGTAGGCTCGCGCGGTCTCGGAGCCTGGACATGTCCCAGCCCATGTGCGGTGCCGCCGCCTGTCGCGTGTCTCATCACAAGATACGCAGCTGAGTGGATATCGCGGCTGGCAAGGATCGGGGAGGAGGTAAGAGTACAGTGGAGAATAGTCCACAAGAAGCCTTCCACAAGAAAAATAGCCTTGAAACTTCAGGACGTCCATTGATTTGTGGTATGCGAACGTCGCGCTTTCCATAGAAAAACCATGGAAACCCAGGGCATCCTGGAGGTAAGCAGGGTGCTTCTTGGCATGGGATTCCTCTGTAACCTGGGAGGTCAAGCCGGTGCGGAAGGCGCACGATGTGCAAAGGGAGAGGAGCAGCCCAAGACAATGTGGATGAAGCAATGACGTCAACGTGGAAGGGCGCACGGAAAAAGTCACGCTGGAGGGAAAGCAGTCAGTATTGACATCCACAGCTGCACCTCTTGAGAGAGGTAGAAGCAGCACTGCTGCTTCCGCATCGGAACGGGGAGGTCGAGCCCAGGGCACCGACACGGGCCCCCAGCTTCCCCCTGGACTCAAGACTCAAGACACCGGACCCCTGGAAGGGAGGAGGGAGGAGGAGGGAGGAGGGAGGAGGGAGGAGGGAGGAGGGAGGAGGGAGGAGGGAGGAGGGAGGAGGGAAAAGCCAAGCTATCAGTTCCATACCTCCCGGGCCCAGGCGTGGAGCAGCTGCACCGCCAGTGGTGGCCCTGATGACCGTGACAGGCAGGGCCCAAACAGCCGCCAGGTGAGGCGAGGGCGAAGCAGCAGGCGGTAATTCCCAGACCTGCGACGGCACGCTGTTGTCAAGACGAAGCGCCCCTGTAAATCTCGACCCCGTTCCCGAGACCCGTTTTTCGTCCCAAATCGTTGTTTACGCACTGGCGCCAGAAACGGGCCCCCGGAGGCCCAAACCAATGGCCCTCCCAGAAGCCAGAATGACACCAAAAGCGGGATAGGATGGATCGAAATCTCTAGGAGCCCTTGGGCCTAGAGAATGGCTCACGTCGGGCGCCGCGGGTTTCCCAGAGCGCTCCAGAAGGCCCTGCGGTCGTTCCGGAACGCTTAGGATTAGGTCGGGCATGTCCCCCTACAGGCGCATTTTGGACGAAAAACTAAAAATCCCCACAAAAAATATTCAAAAATATCAGCCAGCGTTGACTCCAAATAGATAGGAGGACAGGAGGAGGACGAGAGAAGGATGGGAGGAGGACGAAAGGAGGACGGGAGCAGGACGGGAGGAGAACAGGAGGAGCAACATCAAGCAAGCGCAAGCAAGCAGCAAGCACGCAAGAGCAAGCAAGCAAGTGCCATTGGGGAAGGGGGGGGGAATGGAAAAAGGGGGGGTGCAATTGGAAAGAGGGAGGGGTCCTAAAGACCAATTACTTTTGATGAGCTAGGACTCCTATAGGGTAAGCCTATTTGGAGAATAATAACTAACAAAAAATCGTCCCATGACTATTTTATTACTATTTTGGAATTTTCCTTTTGTAGAGGGACAGGCCCGACTTAAGCTTAGGACTGCCTGACTGGTGCCTACGAGATCGGCCAGCAAAGAACTAGGAAGTCAAATCGGATTGGAACGTGAACCGAATCGGTCCCCCTCCACCTCCCCCTCCTCCTCCTCCTCCTCCTCCCCCTCCTCCTCCTCCTCCTCCTCCCCTTCCCTCTCCCCCTCCTCCTCCTCCTCCTCCTCCTCCTCCTCCTCCTCCTGCTCCTGCTCCTCCTCATCATCCAGCATCGGCACGGAATCGGATCCGAATCGAGTCGACCACGCTGGGATGAATGAGCAGCAGCGCCGTGCAAGCAACGAGCCGCACCGGAACGTCGGCACACCAGAACCGAATGGGATCGAACCGGCCAAGATCGATATCGAACCGCATAGATTTGATCGAAGCGACCGTCCTGGTCTGAGATGTCCTATGTTTGATG